TATTTTTTATACTAAATCTATTCAATAATTTAGTAAGTTAATACTTCTCGTTGGCAAGGCCACTTCGCAATTTCATAATAATGAAATAAATTTCTTAAGATGTAATTATAATTCATACATTTTAAAACTCACAAGTAATTATAAACATCTAATGTAAGAGTTAATAATCAATAATTAAAAGGAAAAATTTGGCATGTTTTTAAGGCATAACGAATTTTTAAAAATGTATTATTATTAATTTGTTAATAAAAAAAAATAAACCATAACTTTAACATTTGCCAGCACTACCACATGCTCGCTCCCCCCTCATTGCACTTTACATTTCCCCTCTAACTGTGATAAACGTCCTTAAGCTATCAATGTTGTCAGTTTCCGGAAAAATCCATATTTGAGCGCGAATGACTACGATGTGCTGATAATAGAATAAAAAAATCTTTGTTGATTACATATTTGTTTTTCATCTATTCTATCAAACCGTTATCGTCATAGTGCATATTTCATAGTCGTTGACAAGGAGCTATCACCCTTTAACCGGAAATGTAGGCGACAATGTAAGAATTCGTTCTAATAATAATTGAACTTTCTAGATCTCCTCGAGAAGATGGGACGTCTGGATTTCGACAAAACAAAAGCCGTGACTAATCTCTGGCTGCATACTTATAGGATCCGGTATCCGGTCCGGTGTGCGATTACTGATTAGGCTATCTGATGTTTTTACATTGGAGAATAAAATTTGGAGATTTCTAAGTGCTGACGCCGACTGTCGACGACTGCAGTCGAGTCAGCAAAATCGTGCCGAGCAACTAGCCGCACGCATTATTGCGTATTGCATATACCTATATAACAGACTTGCTACTTGCTTCTTGCTACGGTAGAGGGAACAATAAAGCTGCTATATATGAACTTAGTACCTCACTGCAACAAAGGACCTAGGTATACCAACGGCAGCGAACAAAGTACAAAGACGTGAGTAGTGCGCAGTACTTGCCAAGATACAGTTTGACGTGTTCTAATTGTTCAGAAAAGCTGTAGATCAACGGATTTTTTTATTATACAATTTTGCGACAGATAATATACCTTATTTTCTGCATGAACTTTTGGTCAGTTGAGAAAAAACTATATTTTTTTAAAAAGTTGTTTGTGGTGTATGCTAATTAGTTTTTGATTACATATATATTGTGCTTATATTTGGACCAGATTCAAAGTAATGCGGTGGTGATGAGGCTTTTCTACCCTATTTATATTTACAAGCATTTACCAGTGGTTTATTTTTGTTGACCTAGTAATTACGATCAAGGTATATTACGGTAGTTAATACTTATCCTAATATTTTAGCAATTTTCTGTGATTTTTCCCGAACCAAAAAGTTACCAAATAAATATTTATTTATAACAGAGATATCAAATAAAGAATTGATTCAATAACCTTAGTTGGTGAGTTATGTAGTCGAGTCTCTACTTTTTAGTGATAATTATTTAAGAAAAAAAAAAAAAATTTTTTTTTTATGTATAGGTCTTTTATCACAACAGTCGAACTTAAAATGGACAAATTTAAAGGAGGGATTGCAAAAATTTGTAAAAACATGCAGAATATTATTTTAACACCCACTTTTGCTGCTGCCATTAGTAGAAAGAACACAAGCAAATCCATAGAGTTGCGTCAGGAAAGAAATCGGCTTTTTACGACTATGGCCCATGACAAAGAAACGCACTCAAGAATTCTGTCCCTTTACACCCAGAGTGCAGCTCTGGCAGAAAGTGGCTCGGAGGAACTAGCCTTGGCCTATTGTAACAGGTCTGCCCTCCTGTTGCACCTGAAAAGATATGAAGAGTGTATGGTGGACATTCAAATGGCCACTCAGATCACCAAGTCTGAACAATTGAAAGCTAAACTTGAAGTTCGCAGGGTCCATTGCTTGGCCATGGGCAAAGGTAGTAAACGTGAAAAAAGCTCTGGTCAGTGTCGAAAAATTCCGTTGGAGGCGAGAATGAAAGCCTCCAAAAATATTCCTTGTGCATCGGAGTCAATTGCTATCAGTTTTAATGAAAAGTATGGCTGGCACATCATTGCAGAACAAGATATTGAACCTGGCACTGTTATTGCAGTGGAGAAGGCTTTGGCTTCCATACCTGAGAAGTCCTGCATGTACCTTAATTGTACCCATTGTTTAAATATGGCTTGGAATGGAATTCCATGCGATTCCTGTACTGCTGCTGTTTTTTGCTCTGAAAACTGCAAAAAAGAAGCTTTGTTGCAGTATCACGATGTTGAGTGCTCATTACTTCCTCTTTTATGTGCTGATAGTCTTGGTCATAACTATGTTATTCGAGTAGCAGTAAGAATTTATATTATAGCTATAAAAAAAGAAGGTTTGGCACATATACTTGAAGTGGCTAGTAATCTTAAAAATAGCGAAGGTAAATGACATATCAGTTTACATTTTTTTTTTTAATCAAGTAATAATTGATTGTTATGATAAATTTTTAGATACACGTGTGAAAAAATTTCCTTACAATAATGTTTTTCGAAGTCACACAATAGAGTCCATGTACAATTTATTAGAAACGGAAAACTACTCTAACTTTGAAGAAAGTTTGGTATGTGACGTGGTGAACTTTCTGTTTCAAAACACAAATTTACATGAAAATAAACCCAACATTGATAGCCCAGCAGCTCGTGAAAATATAATTCTATCTGCCAAAACAGTACTGCGTAAATTATATCGCATTGTGAAGAGGAATATTTTCTCTGTTAAGTGAGTTTTTGTTTTTGTCAGATTTTGTATTATTATTTATATATTTGAAAACGTTAATTTATAATGATCAAGAGTTGGATACCAATTCAACTTAATTTTTTTTTTTTCAATTTTGTGCAATTCTTTATTTAAAAAATTTTGCTTTGATTCTTTTTACTTTCCATAACTGTAAGTGAAAAAAAAATATTTAATTGATATTTATACATTAATACTGTGTATTTATATTTTATAGTTTGATTACTCATACTCGCACTATTTGCCACGAGAGGAAGTTGATGAAGCCAGTGAAAACAAAAATTTGGGATCCATCATTACTTCTTTTTGTAGTCTCTTCAATCACAACTGCTGTAACAATGTGGAAAGACTTTTTACTTGCAATACAGAGATAGTATTATTTACTTCAAGATCAGTTAAAAAAGGAGAACAAGTATTAAAAAACTTTTTGATAATCATTTAAGATATTGATGCATGAATTTTGTATAGGACTTTTTGTCCACAGATTTTTCTAAATAAATTAATAAAAATTAGTGGGTGGGATTCATGATGATAGTAGCAAAAAGAAATAAAAAGTAGTTATATTGGAGTTTTTTAATTACTCATGACGTAAAACTTATTTTATATAAAAATTTTGAAGTTGTAAATTCTAACGAAATGCTGTTAACAGTTATGTATATTATGCTACATGTCAGAGTTATTAGGGATAATAATTATATGAACTGTTTACAGTTGTTCATAAACTATGGAACGGACATTTTTACCGAAAACTTAAAACAACGCTCATCTTTAGAAAAAAAATATGATTTTGTTTGTGACTGTCGAGCTTGTAAAGAAGACTGGAACAAAAAGGCTGTGCATAAAGTAAGTTTTTTCTAACTTTTGTAAATAATGTGCCCAAAAAAAATAATCAGCGCTTATAACAAAATTTAATATGACTTGGTTCCTTCAACCCTACCCAGCTCGTAGTGAATAATCTGAATTGTGCTAGTTTTTATAATACGTGTCAATTAAAAACTTGTTTGGCTTTTATTCGTCTCTAAAACAACTTTTTTATTTATTTTCAGAGTTGTCAACAAGTAGCGATTGAGGTATCGAAAAAACTTGAGTCAGCAGGCTTACAATACCACACACTTGAAATTTTCAGCAATCAGTCACCACCAAATGTAATCATATCAGAAAAAATTTTGAAGGATATTGTGAAGGCCACGAAGATCATAGAAAAACATTGTTCCCGTAAGCAAGCTTTTGGCTTAACAGCAGCAACGTACAATTACTTTAAAACTTTTTTTGGGATATTGTATGGAATACAAAATGAAATAGCCAGCACCTGTCAAATTTAATTTTTGTGTTTTTTTATACCTAATTGAACAGAATTTTTTGTTATAAAACTAATGTGAACAACGAAACATGCTCCTTCTTATTTTGTGTAATCTTATGTAATTGGGCCTTCGGTCAATTGATAAATAAATAAACAAATAAAAATAGAAAAAATTCGTCTTAGTTGTTGCATGATTGTATGCCTTTTAAAATTTGTGAAAAAATATTGTGTACACGTGTAAGGCTGCGTATACATGGAGTCTTGAACTTCCAAGACCAGCTCATAAGCCCGTGTAAGTGCGAGTGAGAAGCAAGAACATATTACTTTCTTTCTCGCACTCACAAGGGCACATGGGCTGGTCCTGGATGTTCAAGACTCCATGTATACGCAGCCTATAACATAACTTGACATCTCAGTCATGTTAAATCAAGTAAATTCTGTTTATCTAAAATTGTAAAATTAAAACATAAATTAACGGTATAATTAAACTTATAACTTGGAAATTCAACGAGCAAGATTTTCCATGGTAACAAAAATTTTAAATGTTTACTTATTTTTTTTCATGTTGAAAAGGATTGAATATTGAAAATTTTTATGAAAACGAAAAGTAGGGTATGTATTACTCGTCAAATTGAAAGGAAAAATACACAATGGTAAGTAAATAGATATAACTTGAAAGTAATTTGATGAGACCACTAGAAAAACATACTATACATATCGGGCTGATGAGTTGGCAATTAATTCGAGCTTATTGCCATAACTTTCTTGGAAAAAACTTTTAAGGGGATATACTTAATACATGTGTATCTACACCAAAACCTAATACAGCGACTGAAGGTATACTCCGAGGTATACTCATCAACAAACCAAGATAATTTTATAACAGCATTATAGGTCCATACAAGTTCTTATGCTGTAAAACCAAATAATAATTTACTGGTATCAGCAAATGATGAAAAAGGTTTTAAAGATTTTATTAAAGCATTTATTAAAACTAACACTAAATTCGTAATTTTTTATAAGTTTAACTGTGCCTCGAAATGGCGTATGTAGATATATCAAAATATTTTACGATCAAACATTGTATATGATGGAATATCGTGTTTACGTTTTTCAACGTGAGATCATAGTAACCTGTTTAATTAAGTTTTAACTGTTAGCAAGGTTTCAGTCGTTACTCAATGTTAAACGGTTTTTAACGTGAAAATGTATATTTTATTATACGGAGTACTGAAATATCCTTACAACTTTTAAAGGATTTAATGAAATTTGTTACACAAATATTATATGACTTTAAATAACATGTATTTCTGATTAATTGTTTAATACATGTAAGGAAGCACTATTATTTCATGATCTCCGCATATTGATAAGTTCTTATTGATTTTTTTCGCGCCTCTAGCAATGATGATCGATGAATTCGATGATGAAGGAAGTGGTCGCGGTGGCGCTACGGTAGAGTTGCAGTTCCGTCGATCTCCGAGGTTAAGCTGCATCCGGCGCGGTTTGTACCTACTTGGTGTCTACATCTCTGCCCTATAAGAACTGGATCTGGAATCTGGAATATTTGAAGCGAATATTGTGCATGAATCAATGAAGGTTTCTTTTTCTTTATGATATTAATCTATAGATTATATCATAGATATAATATATAATATAATAGATATCTATAGATATATATATATATGCACGTGCTAATAAGTTCAACACGCCAGGTATACAGTTAGTAGTAGTATTCTATTTTTCAATCATTAATCTCATGATTTTAAATAAAGTTGACTCGTTCTAAAAATGTAGTCCTTATTATTAGTTGATAATTAATTAAGTTTATTTCAAGTCACCTAAGTCTCCTCTTTAATCGTTATTTATTATAGAGGTTATTGCCTTTACTTATTTTTTGAAAAGTTCAAATTCTGTATAAAACAGTTTCTTGCAGCAAAGCATATCTCTAAGTCCTTTTTGTAATATTGTCTAATTTCATTTCTTTTGCTTCTATGAAAGAAAAGAACACTGCACGAATCCAATCAGCTTGAGAAACTTGAAGCCTATTTTGAAAGAAAAAAATTTGTTTGTATTCCTAGATTATGAACGTTACTAGAATTTAACCATGAGTCAGGCCGAGTTGAGGGCACAGATGCTAAAAATGTTGCAGCCATTGCGTGATCTTGCCAAACCTTTTGACAGTACTGCTGCTTCCAAGAAAAATACCACCAAGTCCATTGAAACACGTCAGGAGGGAAACAAGTTTTACAAAAGCCAAGATCATGACCAGAAAGAGCATTCCAAGATACTGTCCTTCTACACCAAAAGCGCAGCTCTGGCAGAAAGTGGCTCGGAGAAACTAGCCTTGGCCTATGGTAACAGGTCTGCCCTCCTGTTGCACCAGAAAAGATATAAAGAGATCTGAAAAACTGAAGGCTAAACTTGCTGCTCGCAGAGCTGATTGTTTGGCATTGAAAGACAAGACAAAAGATTCACAGCCAAAAAAGCTACCGACTCCCTTGAGTTCAAGAGTGAAAAATTCGAAAGTGATTCCATGCGCATCCAAATCAATAACCATCAAGTTTGATGACAAGTATGGTAGGCACATTGTTGCAACTGAAAAAATCGACCCTGGCTCAATCATCGTGATAGAAAAAGCTTTTGTTATTGCTCCTGTAGAGTCTACTATCTATCTCAATTTTACCCATTGCTTGAATCTTGCCTGGAATGCAATTCCATGTGATTCTTGTGCTGTTGCTATATTTTGTTCTGAAAAATGCGAGGAAGTAGCTCTATTGCAGTATCACGACATAGAATGCATGTTACTTCCTCTATTTAACTTTGGGGGAAATTGGCATGTACGTCTGGCCATAAAACTATTTATTAAGTCCCTCAAGACAGACGGCTTTGCTAGCATGATTAAAAATGCCCAAGAAATTGAGAACAACGAGGGTAAGTATAAAATATGAGACTTGTTTTGCTATCCAGTCAATGTAATAATCGACATTTTTATTTAAAGATGCAAGTGTTAATGGATTTTTCGATAATGGTACATTTCAAAGCAGTAAATTTAAGTCTATTTATAATTTATCTGGCAGTAACAGTAAAGTAGACTACGTTGAAACTGTACTGTCAGATGTACTAAATTTTTTACACAAAAATACCAACATCCTGAATGAAAATACCTGTAGTGATGCTATCTCAATTGCCAAAAATATACTGTACAAGGTATATTATATTGTAGAGGAAAATTCTTTCTCAGTTAAGTATTTGTAATGTTTGCTAAAATTAAAACTCATCTTATGCAAAATCGCCAAACTTTCTTATTATTTTTCTGCATTAATAAATTGTACAGTTGGATTACCCAACATGGTGCGTAACGGGCCCAATGTACTCGAATCAAGTCGAGGAAGCGCCTGCATTGGGAGTCATGCTTTCTCCGTTTGGTAGCCTCTTTAATCATAACTGCTCTCATAATGTGGAGAGATTTTTCACACGTGATCAAGAGATAGTATTATTTACTACAGCAGTGATTAAGAAAGGACAACAGGTAATTTATCAGTGTAATTTTAGATTAATACACACGCATTCTTATGAGAGGAAAATTTTTTTACCAATTATGTGGAATTTTACAGTTGTGCATAAATTATGGATCTAATATTTATATGGAAAAAAAGGAAAGACAAAGTTATTTGAAAAAAAGATATGATTTCACTTGTACTTGCGAAGCTTGCAATGAGAACTGGGATATTAATTCTTTGTCAAACGAAGTGAGTTTTATTTTTTTTAATTTTGTCCTAAAATAGTTTCAAGTTGTTGAGACTGCAAAACTATTTGACTTGTTCATGAATTTATTCATTCACATAAAAATAATCTATGGACATAGTCCAGAATAATATTTTGTTGCATCAAATAGTACCTACGTTATTTGATTTTAGAAGTATGATGAGAAAACTATGATGAAATTTTCCAAAGAACTCGACAAAGCTGGAGTGCAGGATTCAACCATGGAAATTTTCAATAGAGGTTTCACAAAATTAACTGTATCAGAGAGAACTTACAAAGATTTCGTCAAAGTCATGAAGGAGGTAAACAAGTATTATACTTGCTGGCATGCTTTCGTGTCTTCTCTACAATGTTTGTTCTATTTTATTTTCTTTTTTGGAAATTTGTACGGCGTCAAGAATGACATACCTGACGAGTGTTAACATACATGTATTTCAGTGTTTTTTTTATTACCAAGTTGCACTAATGTCACTGTGTGCGAATTATATTAAGTTTTAATTTTAATCTGGGACTTCAAGTTGCTGTGCTGGTGTAATCTCATAGTTTAATAACGCCAAAGCAACATAAACTTTTTTTTCCTTCTGTATTTTGCTCTTGTGGCAATCAAATTGTAGTTTAGAGCTTGTAGTTCTTATCCAGCAAATTTCAAACAAAAAATTATATAAATTATTTTTGATACCTTTTTTCGTGTTTTACACGCTTATATTTTTTTTTTTCAAAGCCAAGAAGTTTTGCAAATTTTATTATTTTATGGCGTTTAAGTCACTTATACTGTAAGAGGTATAACTCAAGTTTTTTTGTAATGAGCTTTTGCGTAAGATATTTCTAATATATTTTATATTTAATAACGCTATAACGAAGATAAGTTGTAAAGTGCACTAAGAGTACTCGAAAACTTTGAGAATATACTATTTTGTTAAATAGTCCATTGAAAGATTCGCCGTTAGAATGTGTATGGGAGAAGTTACATGGCTTGTTGTCCATACTTTTAAAGCCTTGTAAAATAAAAATAAAAAAATTTACGTATAAACTTTCAACTTTTCAACTCAAGCCAAATTGCCAAACACTGCCTCCCCCTCCGCCCTTCCTTAATCCCTTCCAATCGTGTTCTTTACGCGAACGCAGCGAGAGGACTGCTCCGTTTTTGATAAAAAATTGTTTTTGCCTTCCAAGCTTCGCTAAGCCCTTTACTAGTTGCCATGCAAATTACAGCTTCGCGGTTTTGAACAAGTCGTGGAGGGAGAGGACTGGCGTCACTGGCGACGTGGCGACCAGGTTGACCAACATGCTCCCTTTACGCGGGGAAAAGTCTTGAAATTACGCCCGCTTCAAATATTTATGCCGCGAAAGAAAGTTACAGTACTTACACAAATAAGAACTTAAGAAAATACATATAGTACACGCACAGTGGGTACACAGTAGGAAACGTTGAAGTTTTACTTTCCAAGCCAAATCCAGTATTCCAGTCTCGATGGATCAGGAATGCTGACTAAGTATCAGGGTGGTGTATTAAATTTACGATAGTCATAAGTCACGAGTGTCACGACCAAAGACAAAGCGGTGTATAGTTAAGTAGGTAAATAATGTAATACATCATATACGTTGAAAAAAATTAAACAAAGAGTAAAAGATAATTAATTTTAACATTTGAAAATAAATATATAAGTAGCATCAGTTATTCGTTGCTAAAAGTAGTATACCCCACGTGTATTGGGTGATATGTGTATTTATATTTGTATTTATTGGAGTCTAATTTTTTTTTTTAGTAGAGCTTAGTTAAAACAGAGAAAATCGGATACGTCCCTTTTTCTATATTATCTGGCTTTAAATATGTTTAAGATAACAGAAGTGTGAGAACACGTTATTTTCTGTTGGTTGATATATTGATAATTGATACATTGTTGAAGTTTATTTGTTTACAGTTCTCCGTAGGTCAACAGTCAGAAATAGCTATATTGTGATGGATAACTTGAAGGAAAAGTTTATGAAACTCCATTCTAATCCAATGCAGAGTAAATCAGCTGAAAAGAACCAGTCTACTGTTCCGGTTAAGAAAAATACGGCCAAGTCCATAAAGACTCGTCAAGAGGGTAACAAACTCTATGCCAAAAAAGGCCATGACAAAGAAACGCACTCAAGAATTCTGTCCCTTTACACCCAGAGTGCAGCTCTGGCAGAAAGTGGCTCGGAGGAACTAGCCTTGGCCTATGGTAACAGGTCTGCCCTCCTGTTGCACCTGAAAAGATATGAAGAGTGTCTGGTGGACATTCAAATGGCCACTCAGATCACCAAATCTGAAAAACTGAAGGCTAAACTTGCTGCTCGTAAAGCTGATTGTTTAGTCCTAAAGGATAAAAATCAGGATTCTGCATGTCGTGATGAGAAAATTCCGTTGAAGGATAGAATGAAAGCCTCTAAAAATATTCCGTGTGCATCGGAGTCAATTGCTATCAGTTTTAATGAAAAGTATGGCAGGCACATCATTGCAGCACAAGATATGGAACCTGGCACTGTTATTGCAGTAGAGAAAGCTTTCGCTTCTGTAGTTAAGAAATCTTTCATGTATCTCAATTGCACCCATTGTTTGAATCTGGCATGGAATGCAATTCCATGTAATTTCTGCATGGATGTTGTTTTTTGTTCGGAAAAGTGCAAGGAAGAAGCTTTTTCACTGTATCACGATGCCGAATGCTTAGTACTTCCAGTATTTAATAACATGAATGACCCTGAAGGTGGCTCCTCTTTGGTACTAACGTTGAGAGTATTTATTATGA